CACCCCACCCCCGTGTATCTGAACTGCAGCATCTGGGGGAAGCCTCAGCATCCTGGGTTTCTGTTCCAGGTCCCAGCAGCATGCAGGGAGGGCTTCTACCTTAATCAACAATGGACTGCAAAACAGGGCTGTGGAGGGCTGAGAGCAGAGGAGCCAACGCGCATGTGCAGGGCCAGATCTACACTGGGATTAGGCACAGGATGCCTGCCTAGGCCTAATGCTCTGCCTGGTCCTGGCTGTCCAGTCTGGAGAGGTTCCCCTTACCCAGGCAGTACCCCTATCAGTCAGCCACTGGCAGACAAGACAGTAAGGTTCCACAGTGGGCACTGTTGCTGCAGTGTCCGCTGCCACCTGGCATCTGATGCAGTGCCTGGGCACCAAAACCAGAGCAGCTTGGCCCAGAAGGTAGGTTACCGGCACCTGCCACAACATGCCCAACCCCTTTTACACCATTCACTGGATGTTCACAACCAACCAAGGGGTTGTGCTTTTTGTACTTGAGTTTACAGTCTCCTTTACAAATGTGGCCTGCGTCCCAAGGAGTAAGATGTGCCCGCTGCCACACGTCCCCCTGGACAAGGACTCCTGTGCTGAGCACAGGTTCCTGTCCGCCACAAGCACCACTTTTCAATGGCTCACAGGTGGCTTCCAGAACCCTCACCCAGCACACTGTTAAGTCTGGATGGAGTAACCACCTCCTTCCCGAATTCTTTACCAAGGACTTGCTCAGGTGGTTCATCTTGCAAATAGCAGGGAGTAGGTCCCACAGGGGTACTTGCTCCCACTTCAGAGTGCTCAGCAAAGCTTCCCCAACAGCCCCAGGCCTGAGAGGTCACTTCCCTCCTGCTAAAGACCCCAGGACTGTGCAGGGTCACTAGAGAGCACCTAGACTAGCTCCACCATTTCAAAGACAGGGAGACTGACTTGCCCAAAGTCACCACGCCAGGTAATGGCATTTCCCCATCCCCTGACCAGAACTCTGTGCTGTGTGACCCTGTCAGGAACACAGAGTTTCTGCAATGCTGAACATACACTGCGATGAGTACCTGCTGGCTCTCGAAGTTCTATTCTTTCCTTGTAAATTACTCCTGATCTGAGTTTGGAGTGTATGCTGGGGAATTAACCAAGCATTCCAGAGGTGATGTGCTGGCTACCCTCGGATGCAGCTGGAAGCCGAGCTCAGGGAGCCACACACACCTTTGAGCTGCTCAGGCTCCAGGAAGAGGTCAGGAGCCACCGGATGGTCAAGCAGCTGGACAACCATTCGGGACTGCAAATGAGCGGCTTACCTGCACACACCAGCCACCAGGGCTGGAAACCGTGCAGTTCTGCTCAGCAAATCAACATGTCCCCCGCTCTAAGCAAGGGCTGCACCACTGAGACACAGTGCAGCTCAGCACATGCCATGGGCTAACTGGCACAGCTCCCCTGAGAGTCGAGAACACCGATAGCTCCCAAGGCTGGCTTTCAGAGACTCTTAACCAGTGGTTTATAACTGCTGAGGACTCTTGCACCACTCAGAAAAAGCTGAGGCCAGTTGCCCTGAAAAATCCACCTTCTCACAGAATTGCATACAAAATTCAGGAGGTTCTTTATGAGATTAGAGAAAGGAGAGCAGGTAATTCAAACCTCTGCCCCCAACCCCCTGCCTAGGACTCTTTCGTGGGCCTCACTCCACCTCTCCCATCAACATTCTACAAATTAAATCACTTTTCTACACCTGACAACAGCCCAGAATCGGAAAGCA